CCCCAAAACCCCAAAACCCCAAAACCCCAAAACCCCAAAACCCCAAGGTAAATATTACATTGAATATAATGAGTCTTAGTAAAATGATTTATTCACACAACATTTAGAAAATAGCAACAAAATCATTAGCTCACACATTTTGGGATCATTACTTCTTGTAAATCTTAGAGTTTTTAAGACTAAACACTCTCTCCTTGAACTCTTCTGATAGTTGCATTTTAGATTTACCTTTTGTCTCGATAATGTAAAGGGATGCACAAAAGAACCCTAGCATTGCTGCTCCACTAAACAAGAAAAAGAAGAATGAGTTTGCCATTCTGAACCTTGGTCGTCCGTAGATCTGCTCGATGACATGCATGGCTAAAGATGGAAGAGATATTACTAGCGAAATGACGCTCCAATGGAAGGCAGTAACGATAGCCATTCCTTTATCTGACAGAGTTTCTGTACAGTAAAGTATTGGAGTTGATGCAAAGTTTAGCCAAAATGATATGAAATAAATCCACACCATAATTGCAGAAGCCAGGTTTATAGTACTCCCAAAAATAGGAATTCGATTGTCTACAAGAGTCAACTGGTCTGTCAGCTGAAATAGGATTCAGCATCAAAAACAAGTAATGATCATGGCAGCCATGAATAGTTTATTTCCTTCCGAATTTCTTTAGCATGAACACTGATGGGATTAGGAACACAACTGAAGCTCAAGTTATAGTAAATGACAGATTGATCCTCGGAATTCTCGAGTCGTACACAAAAGAAAGTCCATAGTTAAGCAATACATGGACTCCAGTGAGTTGTTGGAAACCTCTGACCATGCAAGAGGCAAAGATCTTCTTTCGTTCAGAGAATTTCCAAAGATTGCTCCAAGTATCTTTCACTAGGAGAGTTTCAGATTTCTCAGTTGATTGCTGGGAGTCTTCATCATAATTTACGCCAGAGTGAAACATATAGTCATCTGTCTGTTTCAAACTTAATGAAGATGAGTTATCTTTATAGCTTTGCCGATAGAGTGGGTTTTCTGTTTTGAATACAATTAGCAGCAATATTAATTGAAGAACTGGAATCAGTGTAATTGGAACAACCATTTCTCTCCAAATAAAGTTGATATTGCCAAATCCTGAACAATCATCTGAGTTTTGAAGATTTATAGTTATGGCATCAACTCTTGGAAAAGAAAAACTCAAAAACAAGGGAATTATAAACCCGATGTTAAACCACAACTGAGTAATCACAATGCAATATTCAATATATTTTGGAGCTGAAATTTCACTCACAAAAAGAGGAGCGATAGCGCTAGTGATTCCAAATCCAAGTCCGACAATTCCACGTCCAATGGTCATCGCATACAATGACCTAATGTAGAGAATACCACTTCCTGAGAGACAAAGCAATGCTGAAATAATGAGTGCTTTTCTCTTTCCATATCTTGAGAATTTCCATGAAAACCCTCCACTGATTGCAGCCATGATTAGGACTATAAAATTAAGAGTAAAAATCTGTAAAAATAATTTATTCTATTAAAAAATTGCTGTTCCTTCTTTTGATGGTATTCTTGTTATAACAAGAATCAAGGGCATCAATGATGCAAGGATGAGAAGCTAATTAAAGAATATTCTCCGTCTATATCCCAATACATCTACACAAATTATTTCTTTACCTGAGTTGTTATATAAAACCTACGTATTGTGAGAAGATTCTTAAACTAATGAAACAGGTTTTAGAACCCAGCAAATAATTTAAAATCTATGGTATAGATCCAACGAAGTATTTTTAACAAGCAAAATATTAAGTTTCCTTCCTTTCATCAAAGTGACTAATGCAGCTAAGAAAAGTGATCATTTATTAATAATAGCTTACATATAATATTAGCTGCCATGTTTACTACTCTTGTGTTGTTGGGATTAAACCCGTATATTCAAGGAGTGTAGTTCCACAGTACAAACATAGTGTGCATCAGGTATCCGAAGTGGAAATGCCCCATGTTAAGAACAAAACTCCAGAGGAGCAAGTAGCCTAAGCTCTCCATTTTGTTATATCAATAATTTAGATATGGCTTGGGGTTTTGGGGTTTTGGGGTTTTGGGG